ATCTTCTGCCACATGCTACATTCAACTTCCATCCTGATATTGTTAAGGATTATTTTACTGATTTATATTCTTAATAGATTTCAGTTGTCTTTCAATTCACAGTTCTTAATGAAAGGTGGGATATTTTTATAATGGAAATCTTACATCTTATGATTTATGGTTGTATCTTATGATTTATGATTTACCACTTTGTTGTTTATATGTATACTAAGAGCTTATGCACTGGAGACTAATTCCTTGTGTGTCCAATCACACTTGGTCAATAAAGAATATTCCAAATAAATTAGTATCAATCTTCCTTGGATGTTCAGGAAAATGAAAAGGAACAATTCTTTTAAAATTTATTGCAAGTTACAGAAGAAATATAATGAGAATGATCGTAATATGTCACAAAGAAACGGGGAGGATGGAATGAGCCTCTGTAATATCCAACCATAGAAAATTTAATTGATCATCTTTCTTGGGAACATAATGTAAAGTGATATGTTATTTGTTCACCTTTGCCTGAAATCTCTTTCATTGGATGAATATTATAGCTCATTGAAACTTAAAGGATAATACATCTCTCAGTTTTTGTTTTGATTGAAAAGTCATGGATATACCTGCTGCCCAAATCTAAGAAGAGACTTATCACCTGAACCATTTGATTAAGGTACCAATTGCTTACATGAGGTCATCAAGGACTTCAGAAGAGGGATGTCTTTCAAAGTTGAGAGGATTGGAAAACATGAAGCTTTGTGAACTAATGCCTGCTATGATGACATCCCCTGGCTGATAATATTTGTTGTTGATATTCCGTGGGTCGCTGTTCATGCATTTAGCAACTGGAACATCACATGATGTCCAAGGAAACAATATGAGAATCCAGAGAATAAAGTGCATGATCTTGCATTTACATCTTGTTAACATCAAGTCACCTGTGTTTTTCTAGTCATTCAAGAGTTGGCATCCTTGCATGGCCAGCAATGTCAGTTTCATCAATACGTTCAGAGCTCCCAATTGCTTTAAACTCCTTGGGCCAAATGTTCCAACATAGATTAAGAAGAATCTCCAATCTTGTTTCTGTTTTGCTAATCACTATCAGAAAATCCCTTGTCATCTGGAGCAGTTGATGCTGATGCCAAGTAATCAGCATCAATTGGATAATTATGGGGAATTTAAACATCTGCTTATCATTAGAAATTCTTTCATGTAGCAGAAGAAAATCGTTTTCCAACCTATCATTTCAACAAAACTTTTCTTTTTTCCTAAGAACTTTCAAAAGAATGCAACTTTCTAAAACAGGAGATAAGAGTGTTTAGCAGGAGTATTTCCATGTGGGGTCAAAACAGGCAAGATGACAAAAAATAATGTTGCAAGGAAGCTCAAACTCTTTGGGGCTTGTTTTGAGGGATCATGTTTGTTATTTCTATATTTCAGTTGCGTTTGTGGGGTTCCAATGTAGACTTGGTTCAATAAGTTTCAGTTCAAAATTTGTCTATTTTTTAAAAATTTCTGCTAAAGTATGATAATTCACTGATTTTTTTTACATGTATTCATCCACCCTTATACAGGAATATCAATTAATTGAGGGTTGCGAAGTTTAGTAGTTTAGACATAGAAACAATCATTTAGATAACATTGGTTCCCCATGACGGACTATTGTGGTCTTAGGTATCCTGAGGATGCTTCAATTCAAAGGGGACTTTAATGTACCTTATATTGATCTGCACACAAGGCAATTTTTTTACCATGATTGTTGTAAGCCAGAGTTACATTCTACAAGATGGGTGGCCATATATGTTTTTTAAATAAAATAAACAAAATTACACACACACCATGTGTGTTTATGATGTTCTAATCCAGAGGTGTCAAACTGCCGGCCCAAGGGCCGGATGCGTCATGATGAAACCGTGCCCACCCCATTGCCAGCAATGGGGAAAAAACTCCGATACATCATGTGGCATCATGTGACATCGTGAATTTGACATGTCTGTTCTAATCTAATGTTTACTTTAAAAGCCAACATATATGATCCATATCTCACTAATAGGTTATATCCATTGTGATGACTGATTCAAGATACATACTTAGAACATAGAATAACAGGATTGTAAGGGACCTTGGAGGTCTTCTAGTCCAGCCCCCTGCCCATGGCAAGAGATCCTATACCTATACCATTCCAGATTTTCTTTGGGTTTGATGGGATGGGGTATATGTGATCATAAAAAAGTAACAGAATAACAGGACAGAATAATAGAGTTGAATGGTCATAATTGAATGTCATTAAGGAGTTCTGGATGACTTTAATGCCCTCTCATAGTTTTTGCACTAGGAATCTTCAGGGGACAGTTTCCAACTGGTCTGTACTGTGTCCCATTTTTGAATAGCAAAACATCTTTTAATAGTGTACTTTGATCTTGCCTCTCTTCTGCCATGGTCTTTAGTTGTTCTTTAGGAGAAGTAGAAGTTACTGTTGTCAGATCGATAAACTACAGGGAGATAATCACCTTTGCATAATCATGGATTATTTGCAATACTGTAGAAAAAAACATCTTGATTGCATATTTCAATTGTTGTTTTTTATTAATATAACAAGGGGTATTTTAGGGTAATTCTATTTGGAATATATACTTTCTAATGTATCAGTTGTTCTCCTTCCTTGAAATTTTTGAAAGATTGAGGACCCTTCAGGCAGTCACTCATGTCCTGAATGACACATGGTTTGACTACGGCTGTGCGCTCTATACAGAGCTGCCCTTGAAAATATTGTTTCAGCTGGTCCAAATGCAGTGGTATAAGCAATGATGAACATGCCGTATGCTCATATGACACATCTGCTTCATGAATTGTACTAGCTGTCAGTTTTCTTCATGGTATGATTCAAGGTCTTAATTTCTATCCATAAAGCCAGTGGTGGGATTCAAATATGTGAAAAACCAGTTCTCTGTGTGTATGCCGCTTCCAGAAGTCCATTCTGGGCCTGGGCAACAAAAAAATTAGCTACCAGTTCTATTGAACTGGTGCAAACTGGCTAAATCCCACCACTGCATAGAGCCCTACAGGGCATGGGACCTGATTATTTGAGGGATTGCCTGTCTCCCATCATATTCGTCCAGCCAGTTCCTTCAATAAAACAATGACATTTTGGGGCCATAATTTAGTTCCACTAAATTGTGTGTGTGTGTTTTTCTTCTTGTTTATAAGATACATAGAGCCGCTGGAAATTGGGCAGCATATAAATTTAATTACACACACTTGCACATACATGCACACACAGATACCCACATATATCAGTGGCATCCTCAGAATTAGGTTGGGTCAGAATACCAATTTAGCAGTATGGGATCAAAACCATCCCATACGCAATTCCAAAGAGTTGGCCTTCAATCCTTTTAATTTTTGAGAAAATGTAATTTAATGTGGGGCAGGGTTGAAAAAGTTGAGAATGCAGCTATTGCTATGTAATTGAATGCCCAACCTTTGATTGCAATCTCTGTTTCCCTCATATGCATCAAATGAGTGAACATACTTTTGGAAATGCAGGTATATGCAGCCAGATCTGGGTAGGGGACTCTTATTCAAATTAATCAATCAAAAATCCACAGGTCTGCAGACATCTAGATCAGGGGTCTTCAACCTTGGCCCTTTTATGACTTGTGGACTTCAACTCCCAGAATTCCTCAGTCAGGCACGCTGGCTGAGGAATTCTGGGAGTTGAAGTCCACAAGTCATAAAAGGGCCAAGGTTGAAGACCCCTGATCTAGATGGTCCAGGTTCTATATTTCTGCAGTCACCTGTCAGACATCCTCACAATCTGAGCAAACTTGAACTTCTTTTGTATTTTGATGCTCTTGGACTTCTGTACCCACCACTGAAACATGAATCACTCAGACTAGTCTTTTTCCTTTGGTTTACTAGAAGCTTGTTTAACAATATTTCCTGTTTACACTTTTCAAAATTTTCTTCAGGAACCATAATTGCTAAGTATTGTGACTCATTGAATCTTACAGCTTCAGGGGGCAGGACAGTTCAATGTTTAAAACTGTCAAAATCAGGAGGTTTGTTCATATGCTGGGATAGACCTTATCTCTATAATGCTTTAATTATTAAACCATAGGCATGATAGAATGGAAAGACATAGAAAATTATACATTTTATTATTACACTAATACACAACCATTTCATTTTCAAAAGCACTTAAGGCACGTGTTATTGCTGGCAACAATCACTGATCTAAATCCAATTGTGTACATCAAGATTGATTCTTTTAACTCATTTTATGATTTTTTTGCATTATTTGTTGCCTGTTATTCAGTTCAGGTCTTATCAAGATGATGTAAACTTTGGGGGAGAAAATGAGGACCAATAATCCAGCACTTGAAGCTAAGATGGAGAAGATCTCCACAGCCACCATGTATTTCCCTTTGGTGCTCTGGTAGGCTGGAACAAAAGAGATCCAAACGCTGCAAAAGAGCAGCATGCTGAGAGTGATAAATTTGGCTTCATTGAAACTGTCTGGAAGGTTCCTGCCAAGGAAAGCCACTGTAAAGCTGATCATAGCCAAGAGGCCAATGAAACTCAGGATGCAATAAAACATGGCAGCAGAGCCTTCATTGCACTCCAGGACCATTTCTGTAGGTAGAGAGTACATATCAAGATCTGGGAAGGGAGCAGAGCTCACTAGCCACACAGTACAAAGACTGGTTTGAATGAAAGAGCAGGAAAGCACTATAAAAAGTGCCAGTCTTTTTCCCACCCATGACTTCATCTGGGAGCCTGGCTTGGTGGCCAGGAAAGCTAGGACTACAGTGAGGGTTTTGGCCACCACACAAGAAACTGCCAGAGAGAAGATGATGCCAAAAGTAGTTTGACGAAGGAGACAGGTTGTCATCTGAGGCCGACCAATGAAAAGTAAAGAGCAGAGAAAGGAAAGAAGAAGAGAGACTAGGAGGATGTAGCTGAGATCCTGGTTGTTGGCCTTGACTATGGGAGTATCCTTATGCTGAATGAAGACCGCGAGGACCAGAGCTGTACTGGAGGAAAATAAAAGAGCAAAAATGGTCAAGGTGATCCCCAAAGGCTCATGGAAAGATAGGAAGCTGATGTCTTTTGGAATGCACTGATCCTGAGTTTTGCTGGGATAGTGATCCTCTGGACACTGGTAGCAAAATTCCAAGTCTGAAAAGATAAAACCAAATCTCTTTATTTAGACTGTGGTGTGTCTAATCAAGATAGAAAAAACAGCTAAGTGCATAATCCGAGCTACAAAGAAAATTGCACGTTTTTTAAATAATAGTGTTTTTATGAGATATTATGCAGACCCCAACATCAATTTGTTTGTTGTTCACTCATTCAGCTTATAGGCACCCTTCCTTCAGAAACTCTGGGCAACATACCTGCACTGGATCCTGGAAGTGCTTCTAGCATCCACACAAAGGAAAAGGCCAATTTCTATTCAACCTGATTTTTATATGATAATGTCTGAACATCCCCGCCTGATTCCAAATTCAAATGCAGTCCATGAGATCCTTACCCATTTGAACTGAAACTTTTCCTCTTGGGCATGGAAGGCAATTGTAACAACAAAATGGCTTCCCTTCCTTCTTGGTCTTGCTGTGACCTTTATGACAGGGTTCATTGCACAAAGACAGAGGCTGTGCCTGGGCACAAAGAGAAACAGACAAGACAGAATCCTTAATTGTTGGTTTGGTACTGGGATAGTCACTGGGATATAGGTTTTTTAGTTCTATAATATCCCAGAGTTTGAAATGAACACCTAAGAACCATCATTAAAAAGGCACAACAAAGAATGTTCTTTCTGCATCAACTCAGAAAGTTCAGACTGCCCTAGGAGCTATTGATACAATTCGACAGAGGAATTATTGAGTATGTCATTTGTACTTCTATAACCGTCTGGTTTAATAAAGCAATCTAACAGGACAGGTACAGACTTCAGTGGATAGTTAGGCCTGCAGAAAAAACAATTGCAACTAGCCTGCCTTCCATAGAAGATCAGTATATTGCATGGGTCAGAAGGAGGGCTGACAAAATATCTGGCCATACAACTATTTTCATTATCTGCATCTTGAACAGTGATGGACCCCAAGTATATACAGAAAATACCTGGCTAAATTTCCTTGGCCACTTAATAGAATCGGCATTAACACTGAACACTTGTCCTTTGGGAGCTCTGAGATCAAATCTTCCCACTTTGACTCGATGTAGACTTAGGTTTGGGAATGTGACCCAGTTGATAATATCAAATCCTGCTTCCAGGTTCCCATTTTCATCAAAGGAAATGATTTCCCCAACACTATTGTTAAATGAGACCTTTCTTAGATAGTGATGGAACTAAACTGAGCATAAAAATAAAGCAACATGCATTAGAAAAATAGTACAAATGATAATAGAAGGTGAGAATATTTCACAAAGTATACCCAAAGATGCTTTTTCACGAGGCAACTGACTTTCTTGTTCTTCTAGGGGACAGAAAAACAAGAAAGATGTGAAAAAGCATCTTTGGGACAACTATGACCTGGATGACTAAGAATCTCCATAGACATTCACAAAATATAATTAGTCTTGTACCCAAACTATCAATAATCATGATCAAACAATCTAGGTGCTCATTATTGAATTACTTATAATAAGCCGATAATATAAACAAAATATACACTTAAAGTAAGTTTATCATTACTTCCAAGAATCCAATTCATTACATTAAAAAATGAATAATTAACCAAACCAAAAAGCAAATTCAAGCATCTTGATATTTGTCCCAGTGACCCACTCAAATGGGAAAAAAAGAGAAATAAAATTTCTCACATCTTCTTTTCATCATTGGAATGGCCTCTACTATTCCTTACTCTGACTTGGGAGCCTACCAATAAAAGTTAGTTTTCTCATACATGTTTTTTTCTCTCTCCCCTATTGTGCTTCCTGTTAATAGTGTTACAGAGAATTGTATGCCTTTGGACCTAATAACATATCAAGTTGAGTAATAAAGTTAATGATGTTGAGACTTTGGAAAAAGTTCAGAGAAGAGCAACTAAAATGATCAAAGGCCTGGAAACTAAAACGTATGAAGAACGGCTGCAGGATTTGGGTTTGGCTAGTCTAAAGAAAAGAAGAAACAAGGGTGACATGATAGCAGTATTCCAGTATTTGAGGGGCTGCCACAAAGAAGAGGGGGTCAAATTATTCTCCAGAGCACCAGAGGGCAGGACAAGAAACAATGGTTGAAAACTGATCAAAGAGAGAAGCAACCTGGAATTAAGAAGAAACTTCCTAACAGTGAGAACAATTAACCAATGGAACAGCTTGCCTTCAGAAATCGTGGGTGCTCCATCACTGGAGGTTTTTAAGAAGAGACGAGACAATCACTTGTCTGAAATGATATAGGTTCTCCTGTTGAAGCAGGAGGCTGGATTAGAAGACCTCCAAGGTTCTGTTCTATTCTATTCTATTCTATTCTATTCTATTCTATTCTATTCTATTCTATTCTATTCTATTCTATTCTATTCTATTCAGGCTGAAGAGTTTTATGGAGGCATACAAGTATTCCCTACAATGGGAATCTGATATGAGCAATGATTACAGAGTATTATAATGTAATAAATCATTATATGTGTATGTCTAAGAAAAGCAAAAGGAAAGGAGCTGAGATTAGCAGTCAGATCAATAATTAAAAAGGCAACAAATCAATCCTTAATTTTCCTTTTGACCCCTGCTGCCCCTTTGTGTTGAATAGAACATGAAATATTGAAAAATCATTTCTACTGGATGTAGATCTGCAGACTCTCTAAATCCATCATAGCAACATTTTCTAAACAATGACAACTATGAAATAATGGGATCTAGGACAACTCACCATGGCCAATTCACAGTAGCCAATTCACCACAACCAACTTGCCACGGCCAATTTGCTATGGAACAACGTAACACAAGATAACTGTACTCTAGATCTGTTCCTCTCTTAAAATTATTAGTAATACTATTAGTAATGTTATTAATATTATTATTATTAATGATATTATAGTTATCTCTCATTGAGTTGTCCCACGGCAAGTTGGTGGTGGCAAATTGGCAGCTGTGAGTTGGTTATGGTGAGTTGCATTCGACTCTAAAACATACAAAAATATCAACTTACTAGAGAATTGGCTTATGTAGATATGATTGTCCAATTTCTACTTGTGTAATCAGGACATTACCTGCCACAGTTGTTGCTTCAAGAGCTTCTTCTGTCCTTTCTCTGACATAGTTCTATATTTGAACTTTAATGAAATCATGGACTGCAATACGTGGGCCACAGCATAAACTGCATTGTAAATGCTATAGCTATGGGACGTTATGCTCATGTCAAAAACAGATTTAGGAAGAGCCTCTAGCTTTTCTTCCCCACTGCAGTGATTCCAAACAATCTCCTCTTCCAAGGATGTTGAAAAGGAACAAAGAAATGCTTGTTTCCAAAAGTCCTTAATAAAACCATCTGTGGTTTCCATATTAGGGTTTCTCCTCTGAAGAAAATTTTGGAAACCCACCACATCCTGAGAGTGAGTTGCAAAGGCTAGGGTACCATGAAGTATATCTAGATCCCAAGTTTGTTGAAAAGGAACAGAAGTGAATTCCATTTGTGCAGTCATTATCCAGACTTTGCCCACTTTCATTGGTATGTTTTCAAGTTCTGAAATTTGGGGAAACATTCTCAAAAAGATTGTAGTGTGAATTTCACCATGTAAGAACACAACATTGGCTGTGCTACTAATTATCAATTGGTACGTTTTGACCCATGATTCTATCATTTCATGAATGCCAGTTTTAAAATACAAGGTTGGCAACGGTTCTATAAAATCAAAGCAGACACCTCCCTGGGAAAATTTGGGAAGTTCATTCTGTACAAACCTTAGGCCATTGTCATCATGTATAAAAATGACACCAATCCAGGTCCATCTGAAAAGCAAAAGCAACTGAAGCATCCCCATATACTGTTGGTTTCTATTAGGGAACATCCATTGGAAAAAGGCTTGTTGGGATGGGTCATTAATCAAAGGAGAAGAACCATATCCAAGCTATAAAGAAAGGAAAGATTAAGTAGATAGAATAAATAAAGTAAAATTTTAATGTATGAATGGTGGGTATTCATCTAATATTCTGAAACTGGGTGAAAAAAAATCAAACATTGTACGACCAAGTCCCATTAGAATGGAACTTCACTTTTCTTTATTTTTTAAGATATAGTGGGTGTTTTTAATTTGATTCATGCTATCAGTTTGTAAGAATCATTCATACTGAATTGTGAAAATAAATATGTGCAAAAAAATTGAAAAACACGGGGAGACAATTTACCCAAGATCACCAATTAGAAAGCAAATTCTGGCCATTACAATCTCCCTGGGTCAAAGGAAGTTCATGAGATAAAGCACATGCATTATAGATGATACTTCCTCTTGAGTAAACTGTAGAAATGGATTATTTTTTGCTGTTAGCTCAAGAGGTGAGCTGTCAGCAGTCCTGGGATTCCATCTATGCTCCTAACTGAGGTGGAGCCAACACAGACAGTAAACCCTGCTTTTCCCACTTTGGGAAGTAACTATTTTATAGATGGTTTCAAGGTTAAACAAAATTGATGAATAAAACAGATTTTAAGATTGAGAAGAAGATAAAATATTTGGGTATTAATATGACAAATATGAATTGTATGTTATTTTATAATAACTATGTTGAGACATGGAACAAAATTTAAAAAGATATGTGTTTTATCTAGAATGTTATTTTTGTTTCAGACAATATCTATTTTGATGACTAGTGTACTATTTAATTACTAGCAGAAATTTATGTTTAAGTTTGCATGGCAGAGGAAAAATCACTGAGTTAAATACATTTTACTACAAATTGCAAAGGAAAAAGTAGGTTTATGGGTTAACCAGATTTGAAATTATATTTTTCTGCCTGTTATTTATCTTAGATGAAATAGTGGTTGTTGCTAAGAAATAGAAAACTGCTGGAGTTAGAAGAACATGATCTGACATTTGGGTAGCTTGGAATTCTATGGTATGGTAAAGCTAAGGTTAATGTAGATTTCAAAAATTGTAATGTCAGGCAGACCATTCTTACAATATGGAATAATTATAAATTTGGGTTGTTCCTGTTAACACCAAAAATAGAAGAAAACCTACAAGAGCAACTGCAATAGCAATAGCACTTAGACTTATATACCACTTCACAGTGCTTTACAGTCCTCTCTAAGAGGTTTACAGAGTCAGCATATTGCCCCCAACAATCTGGATCCTCATTTTACTGATCTCGGAAGGATGGAAAGCTGAGTCAACCTTGAGCCGGTCAGGATCAAACCCCTGGCAGTCAGCAGAATCAGCCTGCAATACTGCATTCTAACCATTGCACCACCATGGCTCAAGATAAATAAGAAGACATCAAGACATCAAATAAGAAGGTATCAATCCTTGATTGTTACAATAATTGAGAATGTTATCCAGGGGTTACAAAAAGGGAGCTGGGAATCAGGGGTAGTCAAGAGTTTTCTATTCATTTGTAAGATAGGAAGTGGAAAGGTATATATTCTATTTTGATACTATTTGATAAGCAAAGGAATTAAGTATAGATGCTGTGAATTCTGGGTTAGGCTAGCATTTAAACAATAAATTATTACCTGTTTGATGATGACACATTCTTTGTCCCAAACTGATAAAAATTCTTACTGAACAATAAAAAAGAGGTCTACATGTCTTGTTCAGATCTAACGTTATAAATGTTCACCTTACCTGTGGTATCTTATAGATGCTCAGAATGGTTGCCATGAAAAGACATGCCTTGGAGTTTGGTCCTCCAATGACAGCCACAGTAATACCTTGCACATCACATTTATAGTTTGGAATGAACTTGTCCCATGTAGACAGAAGCTCCAGTGAAGCAAGATAAGTTAAGCTTCCAGTGAAGTAGTCATTATAAATGTTGAAACCCAGGGAGACATTATTCAGTATCTGGATATTCTCATTGATCTCCTTCACAGCAAAGACAAAAGCCAAGATATGCTGATAGGTCTGAGTCACAAATCTGCAATGAGATTTAACTGCACCATTGGATTGTCTCAAGTTAAGTTTAAGAGTTGCTAGATTCCTATTCTTCTAAATTTAGATCATCTACCTTTTCCATAGCAGTCTGTTCCTGTGGAGCATCCTGTCCTTTGAAATCTAGTAGGTCCTCATCCCCGTAACTTTCTAGAAGAAATTGCTGGTTCACACTAGCACTGGAATAGGGTGAGGAGACAGCTGGAAGATGATGTGGTTGGCTGCATCAGAGGAGACTGAGTTTGATGCCAGTTGGGTTTTTTTTGTTTTTTGTGTTTATTGTTTTTTTATGTTTTGGTTTTATATCACCAGGGCTTTTTTTCTCACAGAACGCCCAGAACGGAGTTCCGGCACCTTTTTGGGATGGAACCTTGTAGGGTAGGCAAGGCGGGTTGTATGATGTATGTGAGTTCTGGCACCTTTTTTTTTTCCAGAAAAAAAGCACTGTATATCACTGCCCTGAACTGCTCAGAGTTGTACTTTTAACATGGGAGGCCATATCAGTTTAATGAATGAATAAATAAATAAATATTAGTGAATCATAAGTTATGAAATACAGGCTCAGTTTCTCAAATATTTTTAAGTTGAAAATGAGAGTGCACCAATTACCCAAATGATGGGTAATTGCCAAAATAGTACTTTTTATCTCAAAATGTTTGTACAAAAAATGCATATATTTCAGTGAAGTATATCTAACCATGCCTATCAGGGTGTTGATTCCCAAAACTATTCAACTAGAATGCTAATTTTCATTTCTAACAAGAGAACATTTCTGAAAGAAAATAGCATGTGATCTTGGGTGCATATAGTGTGGTGGTAAAAGGTCCCCTCCCTGTAGACCTGAAACTATATTCATTACCAAACCTATGGGATGCTCCCCAGACATATGATCTGTGTAAAATGCCCTTGTAAGAAAACATTTGCCTCAAGTTGAATTCATTCTGAATGGTGACAGGGAGAAAACTCAGTCAGGTACCTGTGGCCCAGATTGTTGTTTCTATTCACTGACAATAACTCAGAGATAGTATAGTTAACATATTAAGAAGGAACAAATAATAATATGGTCACACAAATGGGTTTATTGGACAACCATTTGTCTGAAATGGTATAGGGTTTCCTGCCTGAGCAGGGGATTGAACTAGAAGACCTCCAAGGTCCCATCCAACTATTCTATTCTATTCTATTCTATTCTATTCTATTCTATTCTATTTAAAATATCCCAACATTATGCAGTAATTTTTACAGTGTCTACCTTTTCTTTGTTTTGCTTCTGCCTTTCTTTGCCTTTCAATGCAGTAGACCAAAGGTATATAAGCCCTGGTTCTTGTTTTGCTCTTGGGTGCTTAACAAAGTATCAAAGGCTTTGCTTGAATTCAGTATATACTATATTATTGCTTTCAGGCATGCAAATAAACTTATGCATCTTCAGAGTGATTTGATTGCCTTAGGTATGCCCGGATTTGGTCACAATAAAGGAAAATGTTATACCAACTACATATTATTGCAAGAAACATGATTTAGCCATGAATGTTATGCCTTTATAATAGACATTTTACATTTCAGTTCAGTTGAATATCCTAGTTTTGGCACATGAACTAACAATTAGTTTAACAGGCCATCAAGAATACTAAAGAAGTTCATCTTCTCTCCCACACAATAACAAAATCCCATCATGATATTTATGGAATTATATCTTTGCAATCTCTCTGTTCTTCAGATTAGTTAAATCTGTTCAGTTATCTTTAATTTTGCAGTTCACAATGAAAGATGGCTATTTTTCTAAGGGAAATAAGTTTAGCCTCAATTCTCTTTTGCTACCAAGAAAGCAAAATGAATAATTCTCATGAAATTTATTACAAGTACAGAAGAACTGCAGCACTATGACAATAATAAGAACACGACACAAAGTGGGTAGGTAGTGGAATCAGTCTCAGTAATTTCCATCCATTTAACTTGTCACTTTGCTCAGGAATGTTACTTAAAATGGTCAGAATGTGTTCATATAACACTTTAAACTGGATAAAAATTCTGATCCATTGAAATGTAAATTGTACTATATCCCTTAATGCTTATGATTGCAAAGTCATGCTTGCTCTTATAGCCTAACCCTAAGGAGAGACCCACTGCCTGAAATATTTGGTTTAAGGTACCAATTGCTTACATGAGGTCATCAAAGAGTTCAGAAGCAGGATGCCTTTCAAAGTTGAGAGGGTTGGAAAACCTGTAGCTCTGTGAACTAATGCCAGCTATGATAACATCTCCTGACTGGTAATACTTATGATTGATTTTCTGAGGGTCACTGATTATGCATTTAGCAACTGGAACATCACACACTGCTGAAGGAAGCAGCATGACAAATGAAAGAATAAAGATCATTATCTCCCATTCACATCTTCTCCTTAACATCAAGTCATCTTTTCCTTTACAATCGTTCAAGCGTTGGTGTTCTGTTGTGCTCTTCTAGCATGTCCAAGAATGTCAGCTTCATTAATAATTCAGGAGTCCCAGGTGCTTTAAAATCCCTGCCATGAAAGTTCCAGTGGAGTTTAACAGTATTTAACAGTATTCCTTAATCTTAGTTCACTGTTTAGCTAGCTACTACCAGAAAATCTCTTCTCACCTGGAGGAATTCTCCAAGTAATCAGCATCAATTGGATAATTATGGGGAATATATGCTCCTACTCATCATTAGATGTCCATGTAGCAGAGGAAAACATTCCCCCCCCTACAGCTTTGGCAAAAGTTTTTTTTTCTAAAAAAAAGTTTCAAAAGTACGAAGCAAGCAAGATGGCAAAATTGATGGTGTGATACAAGCCCCCAATTAATATCTTAGATACAAGAAATACTGTCTGCTTAACTGTAGGTTGTACTGTTTACTTGTTTATTTCCTGCCTGTATTAATATTACAAATACCTCAAGACAGTAAACATATCCAACACACCTTCCTCCTCCTATATTCCCCACAACAACACACTCTGTGTGGTGAGTTGGGCTGAGAGAGAATGACTGGCCCTTACTCAGCTGGCTTCCATGGCTAAGGTGGGACTTGAACTCACTTCCCACTTTCTAGCCTAACTTCCTATACAGAACCCAAAATAAAATTGCTCAAGACTCCATGATAGGTCTGCATTGCTATAGTGTGGTTGATTTACTCAACTATTAGAAAGGACTGTATCTAGCACTATAAACCCCTTGGGTTGATCTGGGTGCAATTACTAATAAAATTCCTGTCTTATGTATTGTGAAGGCACTGTCATTGAACATAGATATTTCCCATTCCTTAAATTTCTGCCTTTCTGCTAAACAATGATAGTGAAATGATATACATCAACAGAATCCTCCTGTCCATACTAAAGATAAATAGATTGATCAGACATTCATCTTTTCTTGCATTATTGAACAGAATTACAAATAATCAGGGATGCAGAGTGGCAGGACTGTTAATCTCTCTTTTTATTTTTATGGCATGCAATATTTGTAAAATGTATTTGCTGCCCATCTCATATCCCATGTCAGCTTTTATTATAAGACTTTTGAGTTGAGATTTGATACTATAGTGTGGTTGACTTACTTATTTTAAGCCTTTTAATATTTTCAAATCTTCAAATACACTTCCTGATTTAAAGAACACATTTAAAAATATATTTTAAAAGGAATACATTATTTGAATATTATTTTAGTGAAAATGAGATCTTTGCTGCTTCTGGGAGAGGATTCTGGGATAGCCAGTTCTAAGATATTTGAGAAGCCTTAAGAGTTTACCTGCTGAGAATATGATGCTTTGAAGGTGCTCCAAAGCAACTTTTTGCTTCTAAATTGAAATGAGGCCCAGACCTCTCATCTAATTTAGCTAGATTTCAATTATTTCATCAAGCGTTGCCTGAATTTTTTAATCAACATGATACAGCATTTGGGAAGGAAAATGTAGTCAGGCAAGCCAATACTAGAAGCTAGAATAGCAAAACTTTTCACAACTAATACTTTATCTATAAACTGACAACTAAAACAAAAGAATGCAAAGAGCTTACTTCTAGGTAAGTGAAACTGAACCATAATATTAAATGATTCTGTTTTCCCCTAGAAATCTGACATATTATTTTATATTTTTCTGTGGGTTTGTCTTCTTAGCTGTTCTTTGTTGTTTAGAGCAGGCCTCAACACAATGATGTAGCATTTAGGAGAAAAGATACAAACCAGTAACCCAACACTGGAAGCAATAATGGAGAAGATCTCCACAGCAACCATATATTTTCCCTTGGTGCTCAGATATGTTGGAACAAAGGACAACCAAACACTACAAAAGACCAACATGCTGAAGGTGATAAACTTGGCTTCATTGAAAACATCAGGCAGATTCCTGGCTAGGAAAGCTACTGTAAAGCTGATAATAGCAAGGAGGCCCATATAGCCCAAGATACAGTAGAACATGAAGACTGATCCTTCATTACACTCTAGAATGATTTCTTGTACCACTGAATTCATGTCAACATCTGGGAATGGAGGAGAGGTTGCCACCCATATAATGGAAATAATACCTTGAATACAACAACAGCCCAAAATTATGAAAAATACAAGTCTTTTCCCAACCCATCTGCTCATCATGGACCCAGGCTTAGTGGCCATGAAAGCCAGAACTACAACGATGGTTTTGGCCAACACACAAGAAATGGCCATGGAAAAGATGATCCCAAAGGCTGTTTGACGAAGGAGACATGTCACCTTGTCAGGTTTTCCTAGGAATAATAAAGAACAAAGAAAAGACAACATGAGAGCAACAAGGAGAGCATATGTGAGATTCCGGTTGTTGGCTTTGACAATGGGAGTGTCCTGATGCCTAATAAAGATCCAGAGGATTGCAGCTGTGACCAAAGTAAAGAACAGAGCAGAACTGGCCAATATAGTGCCCAAAGTTTCTTCATACTTCAAAAATGTTAGAATTTTTGGGAGACAGAAATCCTGCATCTTATTAGGATACTGATCTTCTGGACATTGAAAGCATTCATCCATGTCTAGAAAATAAAATAACAACTTACAGATTTGTTGAAAGAATTAAAACTGAACATGACAGTTATCAATGCTGCTAACATTGGATGTTCTTGCTTTGACAAAATATGAAATGGCAGCCACTCTCTGTATAAGCTGTGTGGTACTTTTAGAGTTAAATTAGATGATGCTGGGAGGGGAGGAGAAAGAATGTGTGTGGGGATTAGTTAAGATAAGAAACCTCGGGCTACAGAATGGAAAGGAAACTTTGCCCTTCAAACTGATTGGAGAATGTGACTTATGACTGCAAATTAGAGGAGGGAATTATGATTGAATATTATGTGCTCAGGGGAGGGGAATTCAGATCTTGGCATCCACCATGCTGTGTCAACACTTTGTTTTCACGATTAAAGACTTTTTAGGATAAGCAATGCCTGGAAGTTCTTTGAAGTGTTTCTTTCATTAGTCGGAACCATGACAACAGTATTAAGAAAAGAGAGCTACTGTTTAACATGTGAATATCAAATACACTGGCATACTTCCAATAGTTATATTTGGGAAACCTTTGTCCCAAAATACATTATTTGGCATCATACTGTAATTCAGTCAATGAATCGAATGCATATCTCATTTGGGTCAATTTTCTGTATTTTCTGTATGTCATTAAATCTGAGCAGACAAACTTCATTTGTGATCTTCAACAAGATACAGTTTGGCTAACAACTCTGCTGATTCCATAGATGGACATATTTGCCATTTATTTTATATATTGGTAGGTGCAGTTCCTTATATTTGTCATGTACATAAGTTTAAATCTAATTTCTTAATTGACAAAGAGCAAAGCCCTGAGTTATGGCAGTTTTAGGAGAAAGAAGACAAGTTTGATACTGAAAACTATTGCCCTGTCTGCCTCTTCTCTATAATGAGAAGCCAGATATTTATTTATAAACTCTTGATTAGATGCTTTGCAATAATATCTAAGTCTCAGAGCACACAGAGTTCAGACATAGTAATTCAACATGTGTTGCATTTTTATTTAGGTATGTCTTCCAGTAAAACAAAAGCAAGAACTCACCTTCCTGGTTGGAAATCTTCCCATGTGGACATTGTAAACAATCATAGCAGCAAAATGGCTTCCCTTCCATCTTGCTTCTAACATAACCTGAATGGCATTTGCTATTACACAAAGATAGTGGCTGAACCTACTCAAGAGAGAAAGAAGAAAATGCTTTGGCAAATTTGTACTCAGTGGTTAGACAGTATCATCTGGGGTGGTTTTTCCACTGTCATGTATGAATTGTCTGCAATGTCTTTGGTATATCCTTCCTTATATACATCTGGGTAGTTCTTGTTAAATGAGAAAACATACTTGTTTAAGCTAATATACCAGAGAACATCAACTCTCTTTCTTAAATATACCAATCCCTCCATTCACACATTATCTTAGAAGATACCTAATGTTCCACCAGGTGAAGGGACTTGTAAAGGTCTTCACATTGCTGGAATATAATTGCTATGTGGGTTTTGGATCTAAGAGAACTCTGAGAATGGAGAAAAGATATTTCACTATAAGTCAAAACTTTCCTTACTTGTTTAAACCTCCTCGGCCATACAATATCATTTTTATCAATGGTGAATAATGCCTCTTGGGAATCCATGGAGTCTATCCCTCCAACTTTAACTTTGAGAAAAGATAGATTTTGGAATGTGATCCAATTCATAATATCAAATCCAGTCTCCAATTCTCCATTTTGGTTGAAAGATATTTTTTGTCCAGCACTATTATTGAATGAGACCCGTCTCATAAATTCGTTGAGCTACAATGGAAAAGAACCCAAGAAAAGGTTAGATACATGACAGATAGATGATAGATGATAGATAGATAGATAGATAGATAGATAGATAGATAGATAGATAGAGAGAGAGAGAGAGAGAGAGAGAGAGAGAGAGAGAGAGAGATTAGAAACCCAAGGTGATAAGATTCATTTCCCCTTTTAAAAATAAAAATAATTTATCCCACATTGTTCTGTCTTACCAAGAAGCTATGGTCTACTTTATCAAATACCTTATTGAAGCTTAAGTCTACTATATCCACAGCATTTCCTTCAACTGCTAATTTAGTCAGTTTGTCAAAGAAGGCAATATGATTTGTTTGGTATGACCTGTTTTTAACAAACGTATGCTGGCTTGCAATAATCATCCTATTTATTTTTAGATACTTACAAATCTGTTGCCTTTTTTTTTTGCAGGATTTTCCCAAGTATTAATGTCAAGCTACTTGGTCTGTTGTTTTCTAGATCCTTTTTTTTTTTTGCTTTTTGAAGATTGGAATCACATCTAAAAGATTCATTCAGTGATTCCAAGATCAATGCCAATTTCTTCAGTACCCTCGGATGTAAACCATCTGATCCAGGAATCTGCACTTGTCCTAAGCAGATATGTGTTCTCTTAACAATTCCTTCCCTATCTTGACCTGTATTTCTATTCTGTCTCCAATGGTGTTGCTTTTGGCAGGTTGGACAATTTTTTCCTTTTGCTTAAAGACTAATGCAAAGAAGGAATTAAGCAGTTTTGCTTTCTCCCTGCTGCCTGACACCTTCTTGTTCTTTCCCATTAGTGGACTGATTGGTATTTTGACTTTCTTCTTACTTCTTATATATTGAAAAAGAACTTTTTTTGTTATTTTGGGCATTTTTTGCAAGTACTAGTTCATTCTGAACCTTGGCCTTCCTGATTCTGTCCTTGCAGATTTGGGCTATTTGCTGGTATTCTGCTCTAGTTATAGATCCCTCTTTCCATGTTTTTATACTTCTCCCTTTTGTTCCTCAATTTGTTAGAGAACTCTTTATGCAACAATGGTGATCTCATCTGATGTCTCTTGTTTCCCTTTCTTACAGCAACAGAAATTTGTTAGAATGCTAATGATGACAGACTCTTTTATATTTAGCCTATACACACACATGCATACATGCACACACAGAGAGAGACACTAAAGATATGGATTACAGAAATCAAACCAGTCATCATGGACTTTTTTTGAAACAAAATGAATCTGAAATAAATACTACAAAGTGAGAAAGGTCTTAAAATATGTAAGTTCAGGGAACACATATAAAACCTAGATACTGTAAGGCACAATAAAGAGTTCAATTAACATAAAAAGACAGGCATAAGAAATTGTACAGCTTTGTTCTAAGACTCAGATGTCATAATTTTTAAAGACATTAATTGGACTATAGCTAAAGAGATGACATTTAACAAAACTATACGTTTAAACACATTCCCCTTCGAAGAATGGCCTGTCAGATCATCTCCTACATGGACCTTAATTTATATTTTGGAACTGGGCTGCAAATATGGTGAGCAGCCAGTAATTGGTTTGACTCAAGAATTTACCTTCCACAGCTTTTGAACCACATATTTATCATCATGTCCTCTAGTTCTATATTCCATCATGGATGAATGGAAGTCATGCAAAGCATGTGCCACCACATGGATGGCATTATAAATGCTGTAGCTGTGGCCAGTCATGTCCATTTCAAACACAGATGTAGGAAGAGCTTCCAGTTTCTCCTTTCCAGTGCAGGGAATCACATTTTCATCCTCCATTACAGAGACGGAGAAGGAACATTCAAAGGCACTTTCCCAGAAGAGCTTGATAAAAGTATCTTCTTTTTCCAAGATTGGGTCCTTCATCTGAACAAACTTCTGGAATCCTAATACTTTCTCTGAGTGAATTGCAAAAGACAGAGCACCATGGAGGAAGACTAGGTCACTATTCCTTACAAAAGGAAGTGACATGAAATCCATCTCAGCAGTCATAATCCAGATTTTACCCTTTCTCCACAATGATGCATCTTCAGATTTCAAATTAGTGGAAAGAAGTCTCAGAACTATAATTCCGTAAATTTCACCATGAACTAGAACTACATTAACTGTGCTTTTCATAACCACCAGATGCATTCCAAGTCCTATTTCCACCAACTCAGCAATGCTATTTGAATCGATTATTGGAAATGTTTCAATAAAGTCTGAGCAGATCCCTCTCTGGGCAAACATGGGAACCACATTTTGTACAAACTTGTCCCCACTATCATTATTCACAGACAAGATCCCAATCCATGTCCATCTGAAATGTAACAATAATTGAAAAATTCCTTTATATTGACGGTCCATAATTGGGAACATTTGCTGATGTAATGCAGCCAGTGTTTTTGTACTACTTTTGGTAGTGGAACCATAGATTAACTTAAAAAAGAAAAAAGAAAAATATAGGCAAATAGTCAACAGGACATTTTTTTTCTTTTTTTAAAAAAGGTAGTGTAGAATGGTATTATTTACCCATCTAAGCTACAACATATTAAGATTCAACACATATTTCGTACTTATGAACCTATACTTCGCAAACATATTCAGAATGTGACATGTGGAAATTGTTATTACTCCCAAGGCTGAGGTGCATTAGCAAATTTGATCAAAAACACATTATTGCACCAAAATTTCATGAGTATTATACTAGTCAAACAATACCTACAGCATTTTCAAACTTGGCTTTCCACTTCTATATTTCAACAGACATTTTACGTATTTCTCCTACAGTACATGAGAGGCTGTGGATGAAAAATTCCCATTCAGAATAATTTCATTTCTCCAGCAATTTTGCCAACTGCTGTTATTTTCTATAACTTAGTTTCCTCCCTCATTCCTTTCTTTTCCTTCAGTACCCATTACGATGACTGAAAATTGTAAATTGGTAGATTGGCCTTAAAATACCTTTTTTTCTGTTTTAATGCTTCTGAGAATTCTCTATAGTTTTAGTCATTGTTTCTCTTAAACATTGCTCTAGTGGAAAATTACTCCTTGGCAAGGGATAGCACACTAACTGATCACTTAGGTCTTTCAAACATAAAAAGGCCAGAAGCGTTATAGCCACAAGACTGGGGACAGGAGTAAGCCACAGCAGAATTCCCATGTAGTCATCAGAAGTCATCAATTGTAAGAATAATTTCTATTTCAAGCAGAACCCCCTCCTTCTTATGCCATGAATGCTCCCATAAAAAGAAGGGAATAGTGCATTGATGGCTATCTACTTGGTGTGGGCTCTATCAAAGTTGATACCTGTGGCATCTTGTAGATGGACAGAATGGTAGCCATTTGTAGACAAACTTCAGTGGTAGGTCCCCCAATGACTGCTATTGGTCTGTGCTGCATATCACAACTGTAGTTAGGGATGACCTGGCCCTTTGTAGAGAAAAGTTCCAGAGAAGCTCGATATGTCCAGCTTGGCATGAAGTAGGTGTTATAGATCTGGAAACCGAGGGTGTCATTAGGTAAAATATTGGGATTTCTGTTGATCTCTGTGATGGCAAATTCTAAGGCCAAGATGTGCTGGTAGATTGGAGTCATGACCCTAGAAAGAGAAATGCATATTTTGTCACCATGCACTCAATTGAACAGAATACTTCTTTATAGCTGAGTCTGATAAAATAGCATTACAATCATTTTTATTTTAATGGGCAGTGTCATAAGGGAGGTTTTGATAGCATTTTAAAAATATTGGGGATGAACATGATTTTTGTCCCAATAATCGTTCAGTATTCAACTTAATAATTTCAGAAACTGAAGAAACTGATACATTCTGGAAGACAAGAGTCAGTCCATTTTCTTTAAAACCTCCAAAACACATTCTATTGTTGAAAATAATTTGGGAGTCTAAGATAATTGATGGCACCAAATAAAAATTATTTCCTTTTTTCAAACAGGCATTCTTCCAAACCAAACATTTATTATGCCATAAGGATAAAAATTATAGTTTAATCCCAGCATTTCCTACACATATCTTGGAAATGGAAAGTAGACATACAGAAGAATTTTGACTAAAAAAAAGAGCATAGCTTTTTTCCAGTCAGAGAGTGCATATAATTTAATTAAACTATATTAAACCATGTAATTAATATTTTGTTTTAAAAAATTAAGATTTTACTGAATAAATTGTTTACAACACTGATGTCATGTACTGGAACAACTAGAATTTTTTTTAATGCTAGAATGAAGGTGAAGTGAATAATTTTTATGGCAACATTTGAAAAAGCACTCCTCAATTAAAATAAAAGGTAAACACTTCAGTTTTCAGTAATTTACTATCTGGAAACTTGGTTGTTCAATAACAAATTTAGAGAAGGACATGAAACTTTCTCTTCTGTGTGTAAATTATTTTAAGATGAAGACTCTCAAAAGGTTCCTCCAAAAACCTCAATCAGAGCATGCATAAAAGTTGAAACACAAACTGTTGAAGGTTCTCTAAGTCTTCTTGGACAACGTGTGCAGTTTGTTAAAATATCCCTTTTACAAAATCCAACTCATGCCTGAACAAGAGCTACTAGATCATAACCCATCCATTTTCCAGGAAGGAATTTTAAGTTACCCACTGCAAGACATCAGATGCTTCCACTAAGCATGGAGCTCCACTCAGTGGGGAAGATCAGTCCTTCTATTTTCAGAAGTATATGAATATCTCAAACTCTCCTTGAAAAGGAATACTGGTTGAGGTTCCTTCAACCCCAGAGATACCTTCCCATCATACAGCTTGGCTTAGCTTTTTCTCCTCCATTTCCCATATTTCATATTATATATTTCTTTTCTTAATGCAAATTTTTATTTCTGTGTAAGGCCTAATTCTTCTAATTATCACATAACAACCAGGGATCATTAATGCTACTTATAAAAGGAACAAGGAGGAGAAGATAATGATGGAAAAGGAGGAAGAATGGGAGGCTGAAGATAGTGCTATCCAGCAAAGAAAAGATGCTGCCAGTTATTGGAATTGAGGCTAATATGAATATGAAAAGACTTCCTAGTTCAAATTAACTTGCTTTCCATATATAAATTCTTACACAGTGTCCTCAAAGAGCTCCTTAGAGGGACGCTTGCTGAAGTCCATTATTGTATGGAAGACATAGATCTGGGAGAGCATGTTCACAACAATGAGGTCTCCTGACTGATATTGCTTGTGAAGAAATGGCAGAGGGTCACTGATGCTGCAGTTAGTCCTGTGAATCCTGCACATCATTTGAGGTAAAAGCGCAATAACCAATACTGCAAATACCATCACTTTTAACAACAGCATTTCTTTGTAAGCCAATTTGTCTGTCTCGAAATTCTTTTTCATGAAGTATAATTTTATTTGAGCTAATAGCTCAGCCACTCCCCCTGGACCTAAAATTAATGTTGAAATAATAATATAGGGATTGATAATTGCAGTAGAAAAGACAGTAATTTCAGAATCAAAGTCCTAGGTAGCCTTGAGCAAAAAACATGTTTTTGCCATCTTAGTAGAGATCATCTTTATCATTCTGTAGTGTGGCATCACAAAATGAAAATGCTTGTAATAATTGAGATATGAGAAAAATCCTAACTAATGAAAAAAAAAGTTTCCTGCATTTGTTAAAGGAGAAGAAAAGAGTTTTATCCCAAATGTTATAACAAAAATAGCTTAATTTTTTATTTTATTTAATAGGTTTATGATATTAATTCACAGAAGAGTTAGAATAGAGTCAAAGTTAAGTTTAGGGTTCCTTTTACTCCAAAACTGATTCTGAATGTGTTTTGTCCCCTTCTGAGAATAATGTGTGGGGAAAAAAACTGAACAGAATTGCTGCCCCCCCCCCTAAACACAGTCTATTTGGGGGCAAATGTTTAATCAAAGTTTACATCCCAAATTTTGAGACTGATTTAAGTTATATGGAAACTAATCAAGGAGAGAAGCAACCAAGAAGAAATTTCCTGACAGAACAATTAATCAGTGGAACGACTTGCCTCCAGAAGCTGTGAATGCTCCAACAATGAAAGTTTTTAAGAAGAGATTGGACAACCATTTGTCTGAAATGGTATAGAGTTTCCTGCCTGAGCAGGGGGTTGGACTAGAAGACCTCCAACATCCCTTCCAACTTTGTTATTCTATGCAGACTATTCAGATTATTTCTGAATAGATGTGAAACTGTTGATGCAGTAGCCCATCCCATCGTGGTTGGTTGCACAAGAGTTAGTAGTTCAATTTTATATGTCCTCTGCCAATTTCTTCAGAGTCTTCTTCCAAATAAAATAGGCAGCTGCTTCCTCCTCTTCCTCCTCCTGTTTTTGATTTCTTTTTGATTTCTTAATCTCATCTTGAGATTAGATGTCCACCTTCCCTACAAAAAGTTATTGAAATGGAATAGCTCAATGATAGGGTAAAAAAAAAACTCTCCCCAGTATTTATTTTTTCAACCATGTGAACAATGTGATTTGGTTCAAGTTCTTAAAAATAAATTGATACACAAATTGACAAGCCAGCTATACAGATAGATGGTTCTATAGCATCCATTAAGACAAACACTGCTGCATTCTGGATATGCTATATTTTCTGGGTAGTCTTTAAATGCATCTTTGTATAACAAACATTGCTGTAACTTGTCTAGGTGTTAATGAGGATTTACTTATAAGCGGCCATGATCACTTCTACTAGCTAAAGCTGCTGTTGCATACCAGCTGAATCAGGGTCCTTTTAGTCATGATTTCTATCTGATATAATTATCAATGTTGTTCCCATTTACAGTCATCTGAAAGATTCAAAGTGAGGGGTCCTTGGTGTTCTCTGAGCTTGGCTTTTTTCTCGTAGATGTTTCATTACCTGAACTAGGTAACACCATCATATTAATAAAGATTATGGTTTTTTCTCAATTTATATTTTAGTGACCTGCCCTGTTAGTGTTGGTAAGACTAATCTTGGTGGTTCCTTGGTTGGGCTGTTTGCTGTTAGCTTGTTTGGGTGTTTCTTGATTGGGATATTGTTTACTCCTTAATTGTTAGTCTGATGTTAATCTTGGTGTTAATCATGTCTCCTGATGGTGCTCATGAATGTGTTCTGCTAGTCTTCTACCTATTTGTTCTATGTAGTAGCTATTGTAAATCTTTACACTGTATAGTGTAGATCAGGGGTGTCAAACTGCCAGCCCATGGTCCGGATGCATCATAGCGAAACCGTGCCCACCCCATTGCCAGCAATGGAAAAAAAGTCACGATGCATTGTGACACATCACAGGAATTTGACACCCCTGGTGTAGATAACTGCCTTTTTTCTTCTGGGTCTTTTAGTTTACTTAGAATACTTTGGAGGGCTTTAGTTGGCTTGTGTGCAACACTGATGCCATGTGGTTGTTGTTGGTTTCTGAGATTTTTTTGATGTTATCCTTTTTATGACCTGTCTAGGTTGGGTTATATTGGGTTGAGTGGTCAGGCTCAGACAAGATGATTTTTTAATAAAATTATGGATAGACTTAACCATAGTTTCAACTGGGAAACTGTGATCAAGCCAAGTCCAAAAATGCTAGAGAATTCCTGGGAGCCTGGCACTGTGACAGATCACCCATCAGTGGACATATAGACATAAACAAAATCTATATACTGTGCAAAAAAGATAATCAACAAGCCAAAAAGGGTTTACCCTTTGAATGAGTTTCTTTACAGAAAAATAAAACAATCTTAATCCTTCCATTCTAGAGGCTGGTTGGGCAAAGAGGCAAACAGGTGACATCCCATGAGTTGAGGTTCTTTGGAGCTTTGGAATCTGAGGTGAATTCAAGATGATCTGTAGTATGCATTCTTCCATCTTTAGAATAGATCCACATTCAAGGTTGCCTGTATTTGGCTGTTTGGGGGATCCACAGATAGCCTCTGACAATGTCATGGTTGGAATATATTCCTCTTCTCTTGAAATCTCACAATGTTACCAAGCAATAAATAATGGAAGAATAGCATAAATTTCAATCAAATTTTTTTGGGTGAAAAAAATACTGGTCAACACAAATTATTATTATTTAGTGTACAATGTGAACATGACAGAAGAGAAGTAAACATACACACACACACACATGTATACACACAGAGAGAGACAGACAGACTGACAAACAGATATATAGATATATTCCACTTAATTATAGATAAAACCTCTATGGGGGTATGGCGGTGGCCTCATAACTGAATGTTCAATTCAGCTATCCAGGTAATTTCCTCTGGCTTTGCTTTATGCAGATCTTCTAGGGAACCAGAAGGGCAATGTAAGGACCTACATCATCTAGGCCTCCCAAGAAAGCAGAACTCTTGAAACAGGCATTGTCTCAAAAGGAACTTTTATTAGGGGTGAGTGACAACAGGAAAACCAAGGCGAGGTCTGGGGGAAAACCCACACAAGCAGTCTATTAAAAGCAATAATCATTACTCCTCCCCCCAAGGCTCTAGTGTTCATTTGAATCCAAGCCAATCCACAGGTGCATATTGTTTTGGTAACTGGCTCCATTGGCGGGCTTTTCAAGTTCTCTCTCACTTTTGTTTCTCTCTGGCTCCAACATAAACTATCTCCAAGATAAGGATGTATACCTTCTCCTGCGGGAAGGGCATAGTGGCAGGACAGTGCAAAGCATCCCCAAAGCACCCCCCCTCCCAACAGAATGGTAGGCCCCAAGAAATGGTTACAAAAGCTTATAGATATAATGGAAAGAAAAGCAAGACATTACTTTGGGGATCTGAAATGCAATCTTGCACAATATGTTTCATAGGTCAAAACAAATGAAATAGATAGTATGCAAATGGCAATTCTTTATTTTACTTGTCAGCTGAAAATTAAACTGAAGATTTGAAAGGGCATAATTCTAGGTGATATTATATTAGAAGATTAAATATTTCTCTTTTCCTACAGACAATCTGAAATAATGATATATATAATTTTATGTTTTGCTCTGGGTTTGTCTTCTTAGCTGTTTTTTGCTGTTTAGAGAAGGCCTCAGAACAATGATATAGCATTTAGGGGAAAAAATACAAATCAGTAATCCAACATTAGAAGCAATAATCGAGAAGATCTCCACAGCAACCATATATTTTCCTTTGGTGCTCAGGTATGTTGGAACAAAGGACAACCAGACACTGCAGAAGAGCAACATGCTGAAGGTGATAAACTTGGCTTCATTGAATACATCAGGCAATTTTCTTGCTAGAAAAGCCACCGTGAAGCTGATAATGGCGAGGAAGCCCATATAGCCCAAGACACAGTAGAACATGAAGACTGATCCTTCATTACACTCCAGAAAGATTTCTTGTACCCCTGAATTTGTATCAACATCTGGAAATGGGGGAGATGTCATCAGCCATATAGTGCAAATAGTTGCTTGAATTAAGCTACAGCCCAACACGATGGACATGGCCAATCTTCTCCCCACCCATTTGATTATCCTAGACCCAGGCTTAGTAGCCATGAAAGCCAGAACTACATTGATGGTTTTGGCCAACACACAGGAAATGGCCACAGAGAAGATAATACCAAAGGCAGTTTGACGAAGGAGACATGTCATCTTGCCAGGTTTTCCAAGGAATAATAAACAAGAAAGAAAAGACAAGAGGAGAGCAATAAGGAGAGCATAGGTGAGATTCCGGTTGTTGGCTTTGACAATGGGAGTGTCCTGATGCTTAATAAAGATCCAAAGGACTCCTACTGTAACCAAAGAAAACAAAAGAGCAGAACTGGCCAAAATAATCCCCAAAGTTTCTTCATACATCAAAAATGTTGCAATCTTTGGAAGACACAAATCCTGGTTCACATTTGCATATTGATCTTCTGGACACTGAAAGCAATCATCTATGTCTACAAAATAAATTAACAATGTATATATTACACTGAAAGAATAAAAACTGAGCACTACGTGTTAAGAACAAAATCTTGTTGCATAACAAGTGAAAGCTAGTAAACCTTCTGTTTTATTATTTATTTTCATCAAATTTGCACTGTTGAAATCCATTCAGTAAACTGAAAGCTGATCAGTGTGCTACTTTTTACTCTTTCCATCTGTTAACAGGAACTTTTAATTAGAGTATTAATGTAGACCCGGGGTGTCAAACTGCCGGCCCGCAGACCGGATGAGTCATCCGGAAGCCAAGCCCACCCTATTGCCGGCAATGGCAAAATCATCCCGATAAGTTGCGCGACGTCACGTGACGTCGTGGGTTTGACATGTCTGATGTAGACTTTTCATTGCTGTTTTTACTCACAGTTTTATTTAGATATATGTTTACAATCTCATATGCAAGACCTTACCATCTTGGTTGGAAATCTTCCCATGTGGACATTGTAGACAATTATAGCAGCAAAATGGTTTGTCTTCTATCTTGCTCCTAGTATAACCTGAATGGCACCTACTATTACACAAAGATAGAGGTTGGACCTGTTCAAGAAGAAAAGGAGAATATGGGATTTTTTAAAAATCATTTAGTGGTAACACAGTACTAAGCAGTGTTATAATGCTCTCCTTCTCTGCCTTCACATGTAGTTAGCTTCTGCTTTAGTTTCTTCAGAAAAGAGAAGGATTATTTCATTTGAAAAAAGTAGTCAAACATACAACCTTCAGCATTAAATGAGGATTAAAAGGTAGGTAGATTATCTTCAAAAGCTAGACAGACCACTGTTATCTCTACAAAATCCAAAATCTTTGCAATATCCTTGGCACAACATTTGTTTTGTGCTGAATAGGAAAAACATAGTTTTATTTTAATATGACAAGAAACATCAGTTTTACTTCTTAAATACCCCAATCTCTCCATTCACAAATCTAACTTAGAGCTGAGACACCATGTAACACTCTGGAGAATATTTAGTAGTCTTGGAGTATTGCAACTGAATCTAATTTCTGTGTTGAACTTTGAAACTAAGACAACTTGAGGGATGACAGAAAGATATTTGTTTACAAGCTAAAATGGAACTAAGCATACCTGATTAAATCTCTTTGGCCATACAATATCATCGTCATCAATGTTGAACAATGCTTCCTGGGAATCCATGAGCTTCATCTCTCCAACTCTGACTCTCAGAAATGATAGATTGGGGAATGTGATCCAATTCATAATATCAAATCCAGTCTCCAATTCTCCATTTTGGTTGAAAGAAACTTTTTGTCCAGCACTATTGTTGAATGAGACACCTCTCATAAATTGGTTTAGCTACAATGGAAAAGAAGAAAGAGAAAATAGATATAAATACTGTAGTTCAGGTACCCAGATGAAAACATTCATTCCCCCATTTAATAATATTTCCTTCAAAGTTTAAGGGAAGATAGTAGGCAATGTAATAACATTATAGACTCTGGTAAACCAGCATTAAAATAATGCATCCTTTAGAGCACAAACACAAACTCAAGCAACCAAAATGTAATACACACACAAATACCCAAAACAATAAAATAGAAAATAAAAGAAAATAATTTTTATATTTCCCTTGGAACAATAAATGTAATTGAGGTTTAGGATTCAGGTGATAGATAGATAGATAGATAGATAGACAGACAGACAGACAGACAGACAGACAGACAGACAGACAGACAGACAGACAGACAGACAGACAGACAGACAGACAGACAGACAGACAGACGATAATCTCTATACTTAGTAATTCTTGAAATATGGAAATTCAGGAAAGCATGGGAAACTTAGAATTGTAAGGCCAAATAAAGAACACCATTAATATAAAATAAAAAATAGTATGCTACTGTCCTAATACATATATGATAATTTTAGTGACATTATTTGGAATAGAGCTGGAGAGAAAATGGCATTGAGTAAAACTACATCCTTAGATACATTATCCTTGGAAGAATGTATTTCATTTAGGTTTAGGATCAGGGTGGCAGATACAGTGAGTAGCTAGTAATTGATTTGCTTAAGGTTTTACCTTCCACAACTTTTGATCCAGAAGTTCCAATTTGGCCTCGTGCCCTCTAGCTCTGTCTTCCAGCATTGACGTATGGAAGTCATGCAAAGCATATGCCACTACATGGATGGCATTGTAGATGCTGTAGCTATGGCTAGTCATGTCCATTTCAAACACAGATGTAGGAAGAGCTAACAGTTTCTCCTTTCCGGTGCAGGGAATTACATTTTTGTCTTCATTCATAACAGAGATGGAGAAGGAACATTCAAAGGCACTTTCCCAGAAGAGCCTGATAAAAGTATCTTCTTTTTCCAAGATAGGGTCCTTCATCTGAACAAATTTCTGGAATCCTGACACCTTCTCTGTGTGAATTGCAAAAAACAGAGCACCATGGAGGAAGACTAGGTCACCATTCCTTAGAAGGGGAAGTGAGATGAAATCCATCTCAGCGGTCATCACCCAGATTTTACTCTTTCTCCATAATGATGCATCTTCAGTTTTCAAATTAGTGGAAAGAAGTCTCAGAACTATAATTCCATAAATTTCACCATGAACTAATACTACATTAACTGTGCTTTTCATAACCACCATGTACATTTGAAGTCCCACTTCCACCTGCTCAGCAAAGCTATTTGAATAATCAATGACAGGAAATATTTCAATGAAAGCTGAACAGATCCCTCTCTGGGCAAACATGGAAACCATATTTTGTATAAACTTCTCACCATTGTCATCTGTTGCTGACAAGATCCCAATCCATGTCCATCCAAAATGCAAAAGTAATAAACAAATTCCCTTATATTGACCATCTATATTTGGGAACATTTGTTGCCATAACACAGCCTCTTTTTGCATACTACTTTCAGTAGTGGAACCATAGATTAACTTAAAAAAGAAAAAGAAAAAGAAAAATACAGGGCAATAGGCAACATGACACTTATCCTCTTCTTCCTTTTTTGAAATGTGGGATGAAAAGATATTATTTACCCATTTAAACTATAACATACATATTAATGCTCAACAGCATTTCATATTTTGACTATTTGACATATATATTTAGAATATGCTAGGAGGAAATTATTAAGTCATCATTCCCACGTTTCCATTAGCAAATTTGATAAAAAAAACACATTATTGCCTTTCACATAAAATTAAATTTCATGGAAATGTTTGTAACATTTACCTGTTTGGCTTTCCACTTTTACATTGCAACAACAACAAAAACATACAAGAATTTCTCCTCCTACATTACATTAGATTACATTATATTACAATTAATCTATTTTTTCCATCTCTATTGTCCCAATTTCTGTCATATTCTATAACTCATTTTTCTCAATTAATCATGTTCCTTTCTTTTCCTTCAATAACATTAAGGGAAACCAGAAATTGTAAATCGGTTGGTACATCATAAATTACTTTTCTGTTCTTATAGTTCTGAAAATACTGTATACTTTAGACCTTGTTTTTCTTAAATACAGCTTTAATAGAGGATTAATTTTAGGGGAAGCATACCACCCTCCTTAATCCTTTAAATCTTTCAAACAATAAAACATCAAAAGAGTTATGGCCATAAGTCTGCATACATTAGTCAACTACAGCTGAATTCCTTTGTGGTATCCAGAAATCCTTAGTTTTGTTAAGAATAGTCTTTATTTCAAAAAGAACTCCTTCCTTCCTATATCATAAATTCTCCCATTTAAAGAAAAGAACAGTGCACTGATAGTTATCTATTTGTTCTGGGCTCCATCAAAGGTGATACCTGTGGCATCTTGTAGAGAGACAGGACAGCACTCATGTGTACACACACATCAGATGTAGGTCCTCCAATGACTGCTATTGGTCTGTGCTGTGTTTCACAGTTGTAGTTAGGAAGGAACTGTCCCTTTCTAGAGAAAAGCTCCAGTGAGGCCTGATATGTCCAACTTGTCATGAAGTAGGTATTATAGATCTGAAAACCGAGGGTGTGATTGGGTAAAATATTGGGATTTCTATTGACCTCTGTGATGGCAAATTCTAAGGCCAAGATGTGCTGGTATATTGGAGTCATAACTCTGGAAAAGGAAATACATATTTTGTCACTTTGCAGTCATAATATACATAGATATACATAATATACATTTATAGGTGAGTGATAAAATAGCACTGTAAGTATTTTGTTTTTAATGAGCAGGGTCATAGATGAAGTTTTCATAGCCTTTGAACAATATTGGTTATGAAAATGACTTTTACCCAACAGTCACTCATCCTACTGGGTAATCATTTCACAAATTAAATTCATTTATTATGATTTTCAAGAGTACCATTGCATTTTGGAGAAGAGTACTCCATTTTCTTTAAGGGCTCCAAACATCATTCACTCTTGATTGTAATTTTGGAGTCCAAACTAGCTTTGATGGCTCTGTAGCAAATATGTAAACAGACTATAGTATAGCTCACTATAACTGATAATGCACAGTTTTAACAATCCAAATTCATCTTGAAATAACTTGGGTGTTTTAAAATAGGGAATGGCAATTGGATTATCTAACATAACCCATTAGCTGGTGTCCCAAAAAAAGAAGCATAATTTATTCCATGATGTTAGCGAGGACATTTCATTTCATAATCTGATAATTAAAGACAGCAATCTTTAAGATTCTACTTAAAAATGGTTATTACTCTGATGCCATATACTATAACAAGAATGGACTTTTGTCAATACTATTATTTTTAATGTTTGAATGAAAGTAAAATAAAATATTTTCATGACAACCCTTAAAAAAGAAAGCCACATTTTTTTTAAAGTAAATATTTCAGACTTCAGTAATTTATTATAGGGGAACTTGGCTGTTCTATAAAGAAGCCAGAGAAGGACACAAAATGTTCTCTTCTCTGTGTGAGGAGTCCCAGGAAGATTCTTTTAAAGAACCACAATCAGTGCAATGTATAAAAGTGAAATCACGAAAACTGTTATAGATGCTCTAAGTCTTCTTGGACAACACAGAATAACCCAAAGTGCAGTTTGCTAAAACATCCCCTTTACAAAATCCAATTCACACTTGAGCAAGAACTAATAGATTATAACCCATCTATTTCCCAGGAAATATTTTGGGTTACCTGCTGAAAGATTTCAGATTCACCCCCCTAAGCATGGACCCCCATCCAATGGGGAAAATTAGTGCTTTCAACTTCAGGTATATATGCATATTCCAACTTTTCCTTTGAAAGGAATTCTACCTGAGGTTTTTTTTACCCTAGAAAAATCTTCCCAAAATACAGCTTAGTTTAGCTTTTCCTCCTCTTTTTCTCATATTTGGTGATAGACAGACAGACAGACAGATAATATAGAGATATAGTGATAGATAGCGATGGAGATAGAGAGAGATAGGAGGAAGAGTGGGAGGATGAAGATAGTGCCATCCAGCAAAGAAAAGGCAATGTTAATCATTATAATTGAAGCTAATATTAATATGGAAACACCTCCTGGTTCAAAATAACTTCTTTTCTGTGGTATAAACTCTTACACAGTGTCCTCAAAGAACTCCTTGGAGGGGCATTTGCTGAAGTCCATCATTGTCTGGAAAACGTAGAGCTGAGAGAGCAAATTCACAACAATGAGGTCTCCAGATTGATAATGCTTGTGAAGAAAAGGCAGAGGGTCACTGGTGCTGCATTTAGCCCTGTGAATATTGCACATAATTTGAGGTAAAGGCAGAATAACCAATACTGCAAATATCAGCATTTCTTCTGTAAGCCAATTTGTCTGTCTCAAAATTCTTTTTCAAGAAGTATACTATTTGAGTTAATGGCTAAATTATGCCCCAGGATGTAGAAATGAAGTTGAAAAAATTATATAGGGACTGATAATTGCAGTAGAAAAGTCAGCAAAGTCTTAGGAAAGCTTGAACAAGAAAACATGTTTTTGCAAACTCAGTAGACATTGCCTTTAGCATTCTGTGTCAAGAGATATGGATGTTTGTGATAATTGAGAGCAAGAGAAGAATTCGAACTCTAAAGAGAGCTTCACAATCTTTTCCTTGATTTGTAGAAGGATAGGAGGAGTTCATGACTCCCAAATCTTAAAAAAAGAAAAACATAGTTTAATATTAATTTGCAGAAGAGTTATAAAAGGACCCAAAATGAAGGTAAAGGCTTCTTGTACTCCAAAATCCATTTTGGAAGCACTTTGGCCTCTATTGAGAAAAGAAATCTGTTAATATCTGGAATCATATGGAAAGTATGATATAAAACCTAGAGAATTGTTCAACAGAGTTAATAACAGAAATACCCCTCCCCTTAAATATACTCTGGGGCAACTCTTTGGTTGGGGCAAAACTCCAACCACTTTTTGCATTTTCTCTTGTAATCTATATAAATAAAAATGTAAATGTTCATTTCTTCAAAATCTTAAATCTCCGGAAGCTCTTCACCGATTGCTTTGAAATTTTGACACAACGTTGCATTCGAATACGCGCGTGTTTTTATATACCTATATTATATAGATGTCACACCTGTGACAGGTAAAACATGCTTTTTTAAAAAACAGTGCCATCTGTTGGACGTAAAAGCAACACACGCTTTTACCAGACTGAGCCACAGCAATGCGTGGCTGGGTACAGCTAGTTTATCAGAATAAAAGAATTGGAAGGGACCTTGGGGGTCTTCTAGTCTAACCCCCTGCTCAAGTAGAGACTCTATACCATTTCAGACAAGTGGTTGTTCAATCTTGTCTTAAAAATCTCCAGTGTTGTAGTATCCCCAACTTCTGCAGCCAAGTCGTTCCACTGATTAATTGATCTAAGGAAATTTCTCCTTAGTTCTAGGTTGGTTTCTCTCCTTGATTAGTTTCCATCCGTTGCTTCTTGTCCTGCTTTCAAGTGCTTTGGAGAATAGCTTGAGCCCCTCTTCTTTGTGGCAGCCCCTGACATATTGGAACATAGCCTCAAGTCCTTCTTTTCATTAAACTAGACATACCCAATTCCTGCAACCATTCTTCATATGCTTTAGCTTTCATACCCCTAATCATCTTTGTTGCTCTTCTCTTTTTCTTGGGGCATTGTTCCCATGCTAATAGGTCTCCTCCTCCTCCTCCTCCTCCTCCTCCTCCTCCTCCTAGTTTGATTTCTTTTCTATGTCTTAATATTACAGTATCTTGAAGCTTGTTTGACTGTCTACCTTCCCTACAGAAAAAATCAAAACAGGCAACAAAATGACTGGGGGAGGGAGAGGAAGCTATCTTCAATATTTATATTTTGAATGATGAAAAAAAATACAATGTGGTTCATGCTCTCAAAAATAAGTTGATATAATTGAGGCCAGATATAAATAGACATTCTCTAACCTCCATTCAAATAAACACTGCTGAATTCTGGATAAGTTCCAATTTTTGCATTGCCTTTAAATGCAAAAGAATATATAAAGAACATTGCAGGAGATTTTCTAGGTGATAATGAGGATTTACTTTTAAGCTCCTATGGTCAGATCCCCTTGTATCAGGTAAAGCTGCAACTTGAAGCTGAGCCTTTTTAGTCATGGTTTGTACCTGCTGTTCAGAGGCAAGTGCCAGGAATGAATCCAGGATAATCCCCAAATTGTCAGCCTTCTTTTTCACAGGTAGTACCTCTGCATCCAAAGACATTTCTAATTTTTTAATGTTTTATTTATTTTAGGAATTTATAACATTTTATTAGGTTACTAGCTGTACCCAGCCACGCGTTGCTGTGGCTCAGTCTGGTAAAAGCGTATGTTGCTTTTACGTCCAACAGATGGCACTGTTTTTTTAAAAAAAACACATTTTTACCTGTCACAGGTGTGACTTCTATATAATATAGGTATATAAAACA